AAAAAAAAAAAAGAAAGAAAACGAAAAGAAGAAAAAGAAAGTGGAACAGAAAAGAAGACAGAAAACACAAAGAAAATCTTTCAGTAAATATTTGTCGCTCTTATTTCTATTCTATTATTCCATGATCCACATATATCTGATTCATTCTTGTCACAGCACATCGCTTGGTCCTTTGTGGCAAGCTTTTTCGTTCTACCCGATCGCTTTGACATATTTTATTATTGTTCCATCAGTGCTCCTTCAATTCCATCGTTATATAAGAATTCTTTTGTAACTAGATGATCACCTTCCCTCACTCGTAGCGTGTTGCTTATAACTTTTTCATCAGATACATCATTTACCTCTCTGAACCAGTTAAAGCACCATTTGAGCCTTATCAGGCTCCCATAAATGACCTCAACCTACTTACCCCTTGTATTTGCCATCATCTGTTTCTTCCAAGGAAAAACTTCAGCATCCTGGTCTTCTACTAATTTTCATCACAAACGATATACTTCATATACCCACTCAACCAACCCAATTAAAGCTAACATCAGCTCTATAACATATAAGCAATGGAAATAAATAATACAAGCCAAATAAAAATGGGAAAAATAATGTTGAGTGGTAACACACACAATGATTTATCACAACAGATTCCCAATCGCTTTTAATGCAAATAGAAACTGTTTACCCATTCTTTCTTCTGAAGTACTTCTCTGCGTCAAACTGACATTAAGTAATGAAATAGATACTACTGCCTACGCCCCTTAATCCGCTTATTCTTACGTTTCTCCTCTGTCAAACAGTGAATACAATTTTGGGTTCTTTGTTAACAAAAAAAAGAAAAAATAGTCAAACTTATGCCAACAGCACAAAACTACTTACAAGCAGCCTTCTTAGGCCTTTTACATTATGCCCCTCCTCTACTCATAATGCACAGCATTTTACTTTTTGATGAACAGTAGATCAACGAGCAAGGGCGTAAAACTACTACAGGCAACGTAGACCTCTTAAAGCAGTTCTCAAATAACCACCACTGTACTTCTTCTCTACAGTTTTACATCTTTGGGCCTTTAAGTGTTTTAATCACCTCTTGTGAAGGTGTCCCCCTTTCAAAAGCCCCGTAGGTGCAAGTCACCTATTGTATTAAATAAAAGCGAAAGGTGTTCCAACTTTCAAAGATTGGCTCAAAAAAAAAAAAAAAAAAAAAAAAAAAAAGAAAAAAGAAAGAAAAGAAAACAAGAAGAAGGAAATAAAACATTAAGGCAGCAACAGTGTGTTGAAAAAAAAAATTGGTTTTGATTTCACCTGTCTTCCAGCCCACTTTGTAGAGTTCACTGTTTTAAAATGTTCATTGGATTAGTGATATCGCTCTGCGGCTATTTAACTTAGAACCCGTAGCGGTCCGTGGACAGGCTTCAGCAGGTCCACCACACACACCTCCACCTCCCAAACCCCACACAACAACAAAGCAACTTTATCAGAATTGTGTTAAAGATGCTTGCATATGTGTGTGTGTATATATACACATATATGTGTGTGTGTATGTATATATACACATATATTTATATATATAAATACATATACATTTTATACGCGTGTGTGTGTATATACACACATATATGTGTATTTTGGGAAGGCAGCAGTGAGCCGTTATCGACTCTGGGCGACGGAGCAAGCTATCTGTCTCTTAAAAATATATATGTGTGTGTATTTATATATACATAAACATATATAAAATATTAAAATATATATAAAGTATATAAAAATAAATAAAATAAAATAAACATATATATATTTAAGAGAGAGATAGCTTGCTCTATCGCCCGGAGTCGATTACGGCTCACTGCTGCCTTCCCAATTCTAGGCTCAAGCCATCCTCCCGCCTCAGCCTCCCGTGTAGCTGGGACTACCGGTACAGGTGCGCGCCACCACACCCGGCTAATTAAAAGTTTTTTTTGTACAGATGGGATCTTTTTTGGGGGCGTGGTTGGGGGAGGGGGCAGTGTCTCACCCTGTCGCCCAGGCTGGAGTGCGGAGGCGCAGTTTAGGCTCACTACAACCTCCGCTTCCTGGGTTCAAGCGATCCTTCCGCTTTAGCCTCCCAAGTAGCTAGGACCACAAGCGTGCCACCACGCCGGACTAATTTTGTTTGTTTGTTTGTTTTTTAAGTAAAGACGGGGTTTCATCATATTGGCCAGGCTAGTCTTGAACTTCTGACCCCAGGTGATCCGCTCACCTCGACCTCCCAAAGTGCTGGGATTACAGGTGTGAGCCACCGCACCTAGCCTAAAAAGGCTTTTACTTCTTCATTTGATGTTCACAGTAACTCTGTGAGTTAAGTAGGCACTTTTTGGGAAGTGGCAAAATATACACAACTTAAATTATATCACTTTAACCATATATATATGGTTTTATTTATTTATTTTTTTTGAGACAGGCTCTCACTGTGTTGCCCAGGCAGGAATGCAGTGGTGCAATCATGGTCCACTTGCAGCCTTGACCTCCTGGGCTAAAGCGATCCTTTCACCACAGCCTCTCAAGCAGCTGGGACCACAAGCACATGCCACCACATCCAGCTAATTTTAAAAATTATTTTAGAGACAGGGGTCTCCCTATGTTGCCCAGGGTTGTCTCAAACTCCTGGGCTCAAGTGATATTTGCACTTCGAACTCCCAAAGTGCTGGGATTATAGGCATGAGCTACTGTGTCCAGCTTCTTTTATCCCTTTTTTTTTTTTAAATTGGGTTGTTTACATTTATCTTTTTGATCTGTAGCAGCTCTTTATGCATTTTGTATATTATTATTTTTTAATGTGTAGCAAATACTTTCTTCCACAGTATAGTGTAGGGAAGGCAACATAAGATGGTGGCTATGCACACACACTGGAATCTAACTGGGTTTGAATTCCAGTTATGCTACTTAGTTGTATCATCTTGAGCAAGTTACATAACTCTATGTGCCTTAGTTTCCTTATCTGTGAAATGGAAATACTCATAGTTCCTATTGCACATGGTTTTTTGGTATGCTGTGTCTTCACCTCATCTGGTCTTGAAGATTAAATGAGTTAATTCAGGTACAGAGCTGGAGTCACTGACTGGTGAAAGGCTGACATTGATTGAGTGCTTTCTATTTATCACTTGGTTTCTCACTTTCTGGTATCTTTTTTTGGTATATACATATTTTCATATTTGTAGAAAATCTGTCTCTCTTATTTATGCGAACTAAATGTTCTGGATGTTGTGTTTTACGATTAGGAAGGCTATTCCCAAGATGTATACTCTACAATGAAATGGTAACAATTGTGAACTACTATGATTTGGACAACCAAATAGAGCAGAATCTGTCAGAAACAGGAGCAGAAGTTGCTATACATACCAAACTATTCTATGAGTGGGATATAACAGGGATTTAGGGAATCTTTAAAAAAAGGTTAGATTGTTTTATAATATTGTTAAAATTTATGGGAAGTCATTGATTTGGACTGAGCTCCTGCACTAGTCTATTTGCTTGTAAGGTCTGCGTTCCAGGAAATCAGGAGAGATGATAGCCAAATCCATTAAGCCAAATGGCGTCTGCTTTTCCTTCCCTGTTTCTGCTTTCTTCAACCTTTTCTGCGTATAAACCTCACCCTGTCCCCTCAGCTCATCAGAGATCCTTTCTATTTTGTAGAAAGGTTTAGGAAAACTAATGATAGCCAATTAGATCTTTAAAACTCGATTTGCTGAAATTTTATTATTTTACAATATTTTCACTGAACTTTGTGCTGCCCGCAATGGTAGTCATTACCCAAGCGTGCCTGTTGAGGCCTTGCCATGAGTTTAGTCCAGATTGAGATGTGCAGTATGTGCAAAGTACATGTCAAATTTCAAAGGCTTCGTATAAGATAATATGTAAAATATCTTACTTTTTATTGGCTACATGTTAAAGTGATACAATCACAGCTCTGTTGTGTTAAATTAAAAATATATATATTTTTAAAAAGCAGGGCACAGTGATTGGACTATGAGCCCCACCTTTCCCCGCCCCCGTGAATCTGAGCCCGCCCCTCGGCGGCTGCAAGGAGGACCCGGAGGTGGCTCAGTCTCCGCGGACTCCGGGAAGGCGGTGTCCGCCGCCCCGCCCCTCCCCGCCGCTCCCTTCCCGCCCCTTCCGTTCCCCGGGCGCGTGCGCCCTCTTATTCGGCTCTCCTAGGTTTCCTGGGGTCCTTCCCCTTTGAGCTGGGGCGGGAGCAGAGGACCCCGCGCTCAGGGGTTGCCAGACAATGCTTTGGGGGCTGCGCCCTCGCGGGCCGGAGGCGGCCGCCCTGGCCACTGCCCGAAGTTTGTGGGGGACGCCCCGCCTTCCCTGCAGCCCTGGATGGCAAGGGGCGACGAAGAGACTTCTGTTGCGGTCGGTCTCCGGGGCCAGTAACCACCAGCCGAACTCGAATACTGGCAGATACCGGGACACGGTGCTGCTGCCGCAGACCAGCTTCCCCATGAAGCTGCTGGGCCGCCAGCAGCCGGACAAGGAGCTGGAGATCCAGCAGGTATGGGCCCCGCCTCGGTGCAGGGCCTCCGGAGAGACCCGATCCGGCCGCGGGCACAGGGCGCTCGGCAGGAGCCACACCTCTGTGCTCCACGCGGGTGCGGGTGGGCGGGGGTGTGACCAGATCGGCGGCATTCATCTGCTTCGCACAGATTTTGTGGGCTGAAAACCTAAGTGAAGAAATCTCTAGATGAATCCCTCCTTTGTAGCAGGTTCCGGAGCGGGAAATTAAGGGGTCACTAGTGATGCCCAGATACCAGCATGTATCGCACGTATGTCCCATTTCTGTCGTAGGCAAAAAAGATCGACTTAGGGCACTTTTCCAGTGCCTTGTAAAAAGCAAATTCACGTGTCCACATGTAAATAAAAACCCAGGCTGGGCGCGGTAGCTCACGCCTGTAATCCCAGCACTTTGAAAGGCCAAGGCAGGAGAATCTCTTGAGCCAAGAGTTCGAGACCATATTGGCTGGACAGCCTCACCGCCCCTATCCTTAAAAAAACCCTTAAAAACCTCAATTATGATGAATGAAGGGGAAGTTGAAGCCCACTTTTTGGATCTTTTAGATCTCTAGTTGGAATTATGACTCGTTTGAAATATATAGTAGCAGTACTTCCTCTGCTGAGTCGCCTTTATAGACTATGTGTCTGTATGTGTCTGTCTCCTGTTTTAGATTGAGCTTTTTTTTTTCCGGAGACAGAGTCTTGCTCTCTCGCCCAGGCCAGAGTGCAATGGCGCGATCTCGGCTCACTACAACCCCCGCCTCCCGGGTTCAAGCGATTCTCCTGCCTTAGCCTCTCGAGTCACTGGGATTACAGGTGCGCACCACCACTCCCGGCTAATTTTTATATTTTTAGTAGAGATGGGGTTTCACCATGTTGGCCAGAGTGGTCTCGAATTCCTGACCTCAAGTGATCCTCCCACCTCGGCCTCCCAAAGTGCTGGGATTACAGGCGTGAGCCACTGTGCCCAGCCTAGACTGAACTTTCTAAGGGCAGAGATTCCTCTTGTTAGTTTCTGTAATTCTAGTCCTTAAAAATCCCTGATATTCTTGGAATATTGGTTAGGTAAATATACTTAGCCTAAATATTCTGACAGTTATGAGTTCATTTAATTTTTTAAAGGCTTTTTAGTACCTTCTGTATGCCAGAAAGAGTGACAGTTTCAAATGTTTTCTCGTTTAATTTTCACACCAGCCCTGTACGATGGATATTAACACTTTTTTTTTTCAGATGAGAAAGCAGACCTGTAAGTGCACAGTAACTTGGCCAAAATCACAGCAAGTGAGGGAAGGGAACTGAGACTGCCATGCACGTTGTTCCCAGATTTGGGGAATGGCAAGCATTGCAGCCAAAGAATAGCAAGAATATGTGTGTCGGGAATCTGCAGGTCCTTCAACATGGCGGGGATGAGGAGTGAAGCCTGGGAAGTGATGAGAGAATGCACGAGAACTTAGTGGAACTAAACCTTTGTGGGGTCCTGCATATCATATAGAGTTTAGACTTCAATCTGAGGTGTATGGGGAAACTACTGAAAGATTTTAAGAGATGTGTACTTAAACACGCATTTCAGAAACCTCACCTTGTGTTTCAGAGTTCAGTAGTTTGGAATGGAATGGATTGGAATGGAAATAAGCAAGTGTTGGCTGTTATTTATGGTTAAACTCAGGAGTATGTATTTATATGATGTTTAGATATCGTTGTTCTTTTTAAACAGAAATGTGGATTTTCAGAACTTTATTCATGGCAAAGAGAAAGAAAAGTAAAGACAGAATTTTGCCTTCATGATGGACCTCCTTATGCAAATGGTGACCCTCATGTTGGACATGCTTTAAATAAGGTAACTATAATTTAGGTTATGACACTTGAAAGAAAGTGTTTATGTAAATACTCTTTATAAAAGTGTATTCTAATTATATGATAATTATGTAAATTTACATTTGCACATAAAACTAAAACATTTTCATAGAAAGCAGTATACAATTTTAGTATTGCATGAAAAAAGCATTGGTGGTATTTGCTTTGAGCTTGATGTTATATTAGTAAACATCATCTTATTCAGTACATAATTATTGTGCGAGACATTGTTCTAGATTCCAGGAATTTGGTCACTGAATGGGTCAATAGTGCTATTAGAGACCAGGCGCAGTGGCTTACGCCTGTAATCCCAGCACTTTGGAAAGCTGAGGTGGGTGGATCACTTGAGGTCAGGAGTTCGAGACCAGCCTGGCCAACATGACAAAACCCTGTCTCTACTAAAAATACAAAAATTAGCTGGGTTTGGTTGTGCATGCCTGTAATCCTAGCTACTCAGGAGGCTAAGGCAGGAGAATCATTTGAACCCCGGAGCGGGTGAATAGAAATTGTAGTGAGCTGAGTTCATGCCACTGCACTCCAGCCTGGGTGACAGAGCGAGGCTGTCTCAAAGTAAAAACAAAAAAAAACCACAAACTGCTATTAGAGTAGTATACATTGCATGTTATGCCGTAAATTATATTGAAAACTTCTGAAACATTTGAGACGTGTTATACATCTTGCATATTTCTCAGTATTAGTGACCTCCACAGAAGCCAAACTATGCTCTACTGCTTTATAGTTCACTTTCGAATTTTTAGACGTATTATATCAGATGGTAAAAATAAGCATTTACTTCTTTCAGTGGACAAAACTGATGTGCTTGATTTTATTTTGGTACATGCTATTTGATATCAATTTCATTAAAATTTTATTTTTGTTAAACTTGATATTTGAGCTGTAGATTTAAATGAAATTTTAAGAATAGAGCTATCTTGTACATCTTACTCAGTTTTCCCCAATGATGACATCTTGCAAAACTATAGTATATTACAACTAGGGTATTAACATTGATACAGTTAAGATGCTGAACTTTACTATATGAATCCCTCATGTTGCCCTTTTATAACCAAGTCATCTTCCTTTTGTTGCACCCTCCCTTGAATTCCTTTCAACTACGAATATATTCTCCATTTCTATATTTTTGTTATTTCAAGAATACTATGCAAATGAAAACATAGTTTATAACCTTTTGGGATTGACTTTTTTTCACTCAGCATGAATCCCTTGAGAGTCATCCAAGCTTTTTAGTAGTTTTATTTTTTCACTGCTGAGTGGTATTCTATGGTGTGGATGTATCACAGTTTGTTTACCCATGAACCTGTTGAACAACTGGGTTGTTTACAGTTTCTGGCTATTATGAATAAAGGTGCTAAAAACATTCATGTACAGGTTTTATGTGAATGTAATTTTTTTTTTTTTTTGAAACAGGCTCTTTCTCTCACCCAGGCTGGAATGCAGTGGCGCAATCACAGCTCACTGCAGCCTCAACCACCTGGGCTCAAGCAATCCTCTCATCTCAGCCTCCCAAGTAGCTGAGATCACAGGTGTAGGCCAGCATGCCTGGCTAATTTTTATATTTTTTGTAGAGATAGCATTTTGCCATGTTGCTCAGGTGGGTCTTGAACTCCTGGACTCAAGCAGTTCACCTGCTTCAGCCTCCCAAAGTGCTGGGATTACAAGTGTGAGCCATTGTGCCTGGCTGTGAATTTTCATTTCTCTGGGATAAATGCCCAAGATTGCAGTTCCTGGGTTGTATGGTAGTTGCATGTTTAGTTTTTTAAGAAAATGCCAGACTGGTTTCCAGAATGGCTGCACTGTTTTACATTTTTCTTTTCTTTTCTTTTCTTTTTTGAAATGGAGTCTTCCTCTTTTGCCCAGGCTGGAGTGCAGGGGTACAATCTTGGTTCACTGCAACCTTCGGCTCCCAGGTTCAAGTGATTCTTCTGCTTCAGTCTCCCAAGTAGCTGGGATTACAGGTGTCCGCCACTATGCCTGGCTAATTTTTGTATTTTTAGTAGAGATGGGTTTTGCCATGTTGGCCAGGCCGGTGTTGAACTCCTGACCTCGAGTGAGTCACCTGCTTCTGCCTCCCAAAGTGCTGGGGTTACAGGTGTGAGCCACCATGCTCAGCCCCATTTCACATGCTTATTTAGCAGTGTATGAATGATCTGGTTTCTCTGCATTCCTGCTAGCATTTGGGTGTTGTGACTATTTTAAATTTTAGCCATTCTAACAGGTATGTAGTGATGTCTCATTTTGCTTTTAATTTGCATTTTCATATTGGCTAATGATGTTGTAAGCCTTTCCATATATTCATTTGCCATGGGTTGAATCTCTTTGGTGAAATGTCCCTTTATGTCTTTTGTCCATTTCTTAATTGGATTTTTTTTCTTTTTACTGTTAAGTTTTGAGAGTTCTTTATATATTCTAGGTAATAAACCTTTTTTCAGATATGTGATTTGCAACTATTTTCTCTCAATCTGTAGTTTTTCTTTTCAATCTTTTATCAGGGTCTGTTGCATAGTAAAATTTTTTAATTTTGATGAAGTTCAATTTGTCATTTTATTCTTTTATGAATCATACTTTTAGTGTCATATCGAAGATAATTCTTTGCCTAACCCTAGAGCCTGAAGATTTTCTCATACATTTTTTTATTGTGTATATAGATGTATTTTTTTTGTTTTTTAGACGGAGTCTTGCTCTGTCACCCAGGCTGGAGAGCAGGGGCACTATCTCGCTCACTGCAAGCTCTGCCTCCCAGGTTCACACCATTCTCCTGCCTCAGCCTCCCCAGCAGCTGGGACTACAGGCGCACGCCGCTATGCCCAGCTAATTTTTTGTATTTTTAGTAGAGACGAGATTTCACTGTGTTAGCCAGGATGGTCTTGATCTCCTGACCTCATGATCCACCCGCCTCGGCCTCTCAAAGTGTTAGGATTACAGGTGTGAACCACTGCGCCCAGCCTTTCTCATATATTTTTTCTAAACGTTTTACATTTTATATTTAAGTCTGTGATCCATTTTGAGTTAATTGTTTTATAATGTGTAAGACTTAGGTCATGGTTTATTTTTTTCCCATATGGATGTCTAGTTGGTTTGGTATCATTTGTTGAAAAGGCTGTCTTTCCACAATGAATTGCTTTTGTACCACTGTCAGAAATTAGTTGGGCATATTTGTGTGGATTTATTTCTGGATGCTCTGTTCTGTTCCATTGATCTATGTGTCCATTTCTTTGTGAATACCACGGTTTTGATTATTGTAGCTACAGAATAAGTATTGAAATTGGGTAGACTGATTCCTCTTATATTATTCCTTTTCAAAATTGCTTTAGCTGTTTTAGTTCCTTTGCTTTTCTATATAAATTTTGAAATAATCTTTTCTGTTGCCACACACACAAAAACTTTTGCTGGGATTTTTATAGGAATACATTAAAACCCATATGTTAGTTTGCGGGGAGTTGACATCTTTATTATGTTGACTCTTCCAATCTATGAACATGGTATATCTTTCTGTTTATTTAGGTCTTTGATTCTTTCATCAGTGTTTTGTAATTTCAGCATATAATCTGGTAACATGTTTTCTGTTTCTTTTTTTTAAGTGATTGTAAATGATATTATACAGGTTGAACATTCCTAATCTGAAAATTTGAAATCTGAAGTACTGCAAAATTAGAAACTTTTTGAGCACTGACATGATGCCACAAGTGGAAAATTTTATACCTGACCTCACATGACAGATGCAGTGAATACTGTTTCATGCACAGAATTGTTTAAAATATTATATAAAATTACCTTTAGGCTATGTGCATAAGGTATTTATGACACATAAGTGAATTTCATGTGTAGAGTTGGGTCCCGTGCCCAAGATATCGTATTATGTATGTGCAAATATTCTAAAGTCTGAAAAACTCCCAAATCTGGAACATTCTAGTCCCAAGCATTTTGGAGAAGGGTACTCAACCTGTGTTTTAAATTTTTATGTCTATATGTTCATGGCTAGTATATAAAATATAATTTTAAATGTTTATTTTGTATCCTGTGACCTTCTTGAATATCTTTTTTGTTTCTCTATTTCTTCTTTACTGCTTTCTTTTACATTGAGTGAATATTTTGTAACGAAGCATATAAGTTTATTTTTTATTTTTTTTAGAGACACTGTCTTATTTTGTCTCCTAGACTGGAGTCTGGTCATGTGATTATAGCTCACTGCAGCCTTGAACTCTTGGACTCAGGCATTCCTTCTGCCTCAATCTCCTAAGTAGCTGGGACAACAGGCACACACCTCCACACTTGGCTAGTTTCTTTTATTTATTGTAGAGATAGGGTTTTGTTACATCGCCCAGGCTGGTATCAAACTCCTAGCCTCAAGTGATCCTCCTGCTTCAGCCTCCCAAAGTATCATGATTATAGGTGTGAGCCACTATGCCCAGCTGCATTTAAATTTCTTTAATGAATTTTTTAGATGTCTTTAATGACATTTTTAGTGTGTTTTTTGAGATAGTTTATTAGTGGTTGCCCTAGAGCTTACCATGTACATTTTAACAGAATCAGCTTCAGGTTTATGCTGGCTTAGTTTAAGTAAAATATAGAAATGTTACTCATATTCTCTTTTCTCCCTTCTTGTGGTTTTGTTGTTATGCATATTACATCTATTTATGTTACAAACCTTGCATTACATTGTTATAATTATTACTTTGCCTTTTTTTTTGAGATGGAGTCTCGCTGTGTCACACAGGCTGGAGTGTAGTGGCGCAGTCTTGGTTCACTGCAACCTCTGCCTTCCAGGCTCGAGCGATTCTCCTGCCTCTGCCTCCCGAGTAGTTGGGATTACAGGCACCCATCACCACACCTGCCTAATTTTTTTGTGTATATATATTTTTTAATGGATATGGGGTTTTGCCATGTTGGTCAGGCTGGTCTCAAACTCCTGACCTCAGGTGATCGCCCACCTTGGCCTCCCAAAGTGCTGGGATTACAGGTGTG